AACACATTTGCCTTCCCGTACACAAGGTACATGTCTGGGCAGCTGGCCTTACAAATTAATCCTAGTGTATTTGCCTTCCAATGGCCAATCACAACACCTACCACTCAATATGCAAGACAGGTGAGAGAGAAAAGGCATGTCTTGGATGACACAGAGGAGTGGCTTGTAAAACCATGCCAAGTGCAATGTCTAATTTGACCCCACATCATCAGCAGAGCCTGGAAGCATTACTTTTTTGGACGATTGCTCCCTGCTGTGCTTTCCAGTGAGATCGCACCAAATGAAAAGAAGTTCAAGGGAGGTAAACTTTATCTTCTTGTTTATTCTTATGACAAGCCTATGAGGCCGGTCACTGTCAGAGAGAATGACTGGCCTGAGGTTGCCTGGTGGAGTTCTATACCTCAGTGAAGACAAAAGCTCAGATCTTTCCCGTTCCTGCACAACAGTCTAACCACAACATCACAGACTGGCTTTTTATCACTTTGGGCTGCATGCCATAAAAGTAGCATCAGAGAACAAGTAATGTTCTGAAATTGGGAAGGTTGTTTGGGGAGACTGCAGGTTCTAGGATGCAGCAGTCAACATGGCTGTTGCTTGTACTAGTGGAGGGAGTCTGGCTATTGTAGATACCAAAAAGTAGCATTTTTCATCTCTGACCAGGGAGAAAATTCTTGACTGTATTTAGTTCCCTACAAACTCCCCCTTTTGTGAATATTTCCTGGAAACAATGAAGCCATGAGCAGCAGTGATTAGCCAAACAATAATTAGTACTGGAGGCTTGGGGGCCCAGCTTCTTTGACAATATAGACAGAGATCACCGGGGAAGGAACCCTAGTAATGAATGGGGAGTTTTCAAACTGCACAAAGAGGTAATTGAGGGGCTCTTACAAATTGTTGCTGCTGATTAGGGGAGGAAACTACCGTGACCCCATGGCAGTCCAACAGGAAAAGACTATTCATGTGTGGCTAGCAGGGACTCAAGATATGAGAGGTTCTCTGGGGAAGTGGGCCTCTTATCTTAAAGTGATGGCCTCCCCCCCCCTTTTTTTTTTCTAAAAAAGCTTATTTAGACTTGGATATGGGGTGGAAGTCCGGCTATTTATACAAGGCCTGGTGAACCCAAAGGTAGAGAATAGTCAATTTTGCAATTTCACCCCCCCACACACACACTGCTTGACTTGATAGCTGTGGCTGAGTGGATTGAGCCCCAGACAGATCATTATTCTAGAACCAGTCACAAGTGATGTAGCTCAAAGCTGAATCTGTTTCATGACACGGACACAGAGACAACCCTGAGAGTGTCTCACTTTGTGCAGATCACAAGAAGACAAGACTTGCTGGGGGGAAAACAGGAAAGTTATGAAAAGATGAAGAGAGCAGGAATAGAGGAAGACTAAAGGTGAGATGGACGGACTCTATAAAGGAAGCCACAGCCTTGAGTTCTTGTCTGTTGTCTCTTTCTTGGCACCAAGATGCTATTTAAAACTCAGTCTAAGCAGCAACCAGGCTGTTCTCTGAATGGCTTGGCACATTGGCACTGCCATGCTGTCAAAGAGACATCTTTGCTTAATTGCAGATTGTGGCGTGCCAGCTGGTGGATTCTGGGAGCTGTAGTCTAAAACAGTGACATTCTGAAGAGCTAGATCAGTGTTCTTCCTTTTCAACATCACACAGGGATGGTGCCTGGGATAATAAGAGCTTTTGTTCGCTGGGGGGAATCCCTTTGGGAAAGAGCATGAGTGCCAGAGCCCTGGTCGTGTCTGAGAAAAATGATTGTCAATTAGTTCATCTGCACAAACTTCATCCCTAGAGCTGCTCTCTCTCTCTCTCTCTCTCTCTCTCTCTCTGTGTGTGTGTGTGTTCTGACTGGCATGAAGAAATCAAGAGGAAGCCTGAACTCTGCGGTTGATCATACGGTTTGCATCTCTTGTTGTCATGGTGATCAATAAAAAGATAATTTCAGATCATCATCAGGCCAGACTCCACAGGGAAAGTGGTGAGGTAAAACTAGAAAT